CATATCTACAGGAAACCAAGGAAAAATCAGTTCCCGAAACCAAACGGGTCAACTAATCTACATGATCAAACGAAGTAACCCTACTATCCAGGTTCCTTCTCACAACCCTACTACCCAAGCTTTCATTTCGAAGTAACCCTACTATCCAGGTTTCTTCTCACAGCCCTACTACCCAGGCTTTCATTTCGAAGTAACCCTACTATCCAGGTTCCTTCTCACAACCTTACTACCCAGGCTTTCATTTCTAAGTAACCCTACTATCCAGGTTCCTTCTCACAGCCCTACTACCCAGGCTTTCATTTTGAAGTAACCCTACTATCCAGGTTCCTTCTCACAGCCCTACTACCCAGGCTTTCATTTCGAAGTAACCCTACTATCCAGGTTCCTTCTCACAGCCCTACTACCCAGGCTTTCATTTCGAAGTAACCCTACTATCTAGGTTCCTTCTCACAACCCTACTACCCAGGCTTTCATTTCGAAGTAACCCTACTATCCAGGTTCCTTCTCACAACCCTACTACACATGCTTTCATTTCGAAGTAACCCTACTATCCAGGTTCCTTCTTACAGCCTTACTACCCAGGCTTTCATTTCGAAGTAACCCTACTATCCAGGTTCCTTCTCACAACCTTACTACCCAGGCTTTCATTTCAAAGTAACCCTACTATCCAGGTTCCTTCTTACAGCCCTACTACCCAGGATTTCATTTCGAAGTAACTCTACTATCCAGGTTCCTTCTCCCTTATCTCTCGATAACAAGTTAAAACACTACAAAGCCTGGATCCGATCAAATACGGTTGATCTCATATTTCCACAGCAAGTTGCTGTACATCCTGGACCCTGACCAGGTATACAGTCTACTTTCACTTCTTCAATCAAGAGTTAATTCCCCAGTAGAGAAATGGACAACCAAAAGCTCCTAGGCTTTACTTCCCAGTGCATAAATCAACATTCCCCGGCAAAGTCCTCCTTGACAGCTGGTACAGGAATTTTCACCCATGAATCTCTTATGCAACCAATATTTTCTGGATGGCATCTTTAAGCACATCTCCTATGATTTCCCGTCGCCTTCTAAATGGCATCTGTAAGCCCATTTCCAACTTTGCTAATCAGTAATCCTGCATACGAGTGCAAATTTCTGGGCACTCTAGTGTTCAATCATCTTCCACCTTCAGATCACAAAAGGAAGACCAGCCAATCTACATCCTTAGGTTTAAGAAGATTGAACAGGGGACTGTTGTACCCTAAAATTTTCCCTGTCATTTCTCAAAGGATCAACCTGGGCCCTCAAGTTTGCTTTCATCCAATTGCAAATCTGAAATTACAAATTTTCCAAGAGAATGGTTCACAAGGGAAAATTGGTCATTTACACGCAAAAGGAGTCAAACTATGACTTTTGAATCAAAAATCAAGTTCCAAGAATCATATTTCATTAAGGCATGAAATTGGTTCATCAAAAATCAAAAGTCAGAAGTTACATTGAAAATCAAATTTTCTAAGCATTTAGAAAATTTTCTAAGTGTCTAAAGAATATGACACTTCAGAACCTCTGAGCCAACCTCTATGCAAGTGCAGTCAGAAGTTACAAACACGATCCAGAACATGACACTTCAATCAGAACATGCAGAAGCGTTGCTCTTTCGTCAAAACAAGATGCTTCAGTCAGGACATGATTTTTCAGCATATGGAGGCTATGTTCAACGCTCCGGCAAAAAGATGCCCCTTCAGCATTTAAAGGTTACACTTTTGATCTTCTGCGATCACAACATCACCAAAACATCGTTTAAAGTAACCTGCTGCCCTGCTATGGTACAGTCCTGCAACCAGCTGCCACAACACTCCAAGGTGTTGTTGATCCAGTCCACGCCTGCGTTTTTCTTACACCAAATTAGCCTATGAAAACTGTGATTAAAAAACAAAGGGACAGTATGCCAAAAATGTTTAAAACTCATTTGTTTCCCCCCCCAAAACCACATCAAATCCATCTATAAATAGTTTGTTCCATCACATGTTAAAAAGGTTGGTTTTTGGAGAGAGAGAATCACCAAAAGGAAGAAAAAGCCTTGAATCCCTGCAAAAATCCCAAGAATCCGAAAAGTTGTAAAACACCAAAATACAAAATCTTAGCATTTGATCCTAGCATCAAAACTCCATTGTTCCTTGACTAAAACCATCCCCACAATTGCTGGTTCACATACTAGAAGCTATTCTAACTTCTGTATCCATACTGCCCATACACTCTCCATTCACCTCCACCTCAAAGAAGTCAGAATATCACCCCTTGGCTGTTCCAGAAGTTGAAAACTTCCATCCTGTTGAGTACGTGAAGAAGTTGCTCAGAACATCACAAGAGTTCAGGACTAACCTCCAGTTTACAGAATCTTTTCTAGCGGCAAGGTAAGCATCTGCTGACTCTTATCACGTTACTTAAGCATTACCAGATTTACATGTTCAAAAGTACAATGTAGACATCATGTTTCTGACGTTATGCATTTTCTGAGGCTTCCCGTATTTGTCTGCCTAAGTATAAAATAAATCAGTTCAGAACTTCTGGAAGAAATTAGAACTCAGAATTAGGACTAGCGAATTCACACTTGCCTCCGATTTATAGTTATGATATTTCTTGTTTCTGAAATGCTATGGAACTTGCCATAACTGTCATATGTACATCTTCTGTTTTTTGGATAAATGACCAAGTTGCAGATGTTCTGACTAGCATGGAAAGAGAGACCAAGTTCTGCCAGTGGTATCAGAACTTCTGAAATCCACTTTGTTACCAATGGTATCAGAACTTCAGAAACCTGCTCTGTTGCCAGTGGTATCAGAACTTCTGAAAGCTAATATGCTCCCAGTGGACTCAAAACTTCTGACTCTACGTTTTTTTTTTCACTAACAGGATTTCTGTTTTGCAGTGCGCCAGAGTCAGAACTTCTGACCTCCCTTAATCAGCAATACGCTGATTCTATTTTTCCTTTTTTCTCGCTGTTTTTGCTATCACTTTCTATTTCATTAATCAACAAACACCAAAAACATTTTTCCATGCTTTACTTTATTTCTTAAAACAAAAGACCAAAAAAATATTTTCTTAAGCAAAACTTATTTCTTTTCTTAAATAAATAAGCAATTTACGTTTCTTGCACATTCTGATCCATTTCAATGTGGTTGTAATAGTAACTTAGGATCTAATTTTACTTACAGCCCCATTCATAAATGTGTACCTCCATCCCCCTAAAGCGATGTAATAGCTTAGATTTTATTTTCCGCATTTTTACTTGTTTTTTTATATATTGCTAGTAAATAGGATGTACGGCAAGATAAAATCAACAAATAGATGACTTTCAAAATACAAGACAAAATGCATGCAAACTAACACACCATTCACACATGTACCCTTAGGGTAATCCTATTTCGTTGCATATCGAAAAAATAGTCATGTCCCTCGAACATGGGTGTTTTAGCAAAGACCCTCGATAAAAGATCATAGTCCCTCGATGACCCTCGATGTTGCCTTCGGTAAACGATCTAGTCCCTAAAACGATATTGCTAAAACGTCCTATATGTTGCCTTCTATGACTATACAAATGTCCCAACGCCCGTCCATTCACATCCAACGATGGGGCTTCTTACCAAATCAATGGTAAGATAACCACATCTAAAGGGGAAGGAAAAGCACACTTAAGACCTTTTCGAGTAGTTAGATTCGCTTTTAGTTGCTCGCTTGCTCACAATAAAACATCTTGTACACCAACACTCTCATTTTGAAACATTTTTAAAAGACAAACACTTTGTACGCGTTCTTATAGAGACGAGAGCCATTACATAGGAAACCCTTTTCAAAATCACTTTAAAAAACACACCCCACAAACACCTTTTTGAATTATTTTCAAAACAAAACTTCGTATGCATTCTTATAGAAACGAGAATCATTACAAACTTACATTTCAAAATACTTTCAAAACCACACAAAGCACATTCAAACAAAAGCAAGTGATCTAGCGAGTAACTAAGAGCCCATGGAAAACCATGGATGAAAAGGGTGCTAATACCTTCCCTTTTCATAATCTACCCCCGAACTCAAAAACATCTTTAAAGGTTTTTCCTGTGCTTTTTCACCTTTCCTTTTTGGATAAAAGAAAAGTCGGTGGCGACTCTTGCTAAACCGCAATATTTGCAAACACCAAACGCAAACCTCAAGTCAGTTCTCCCACTGTATCACACTATCTTTTACAATATGAACACATAAAAATATATATTTCATGCAAGGAAATTAAATATAATATAAAATTTGATAATATATTTATGACCATTTAAATTAAAAGAATCAAAGCACTAACTTGAGTGGTAAACAAGCTCTTCCTAAAAAACAAAAGTTTGAGATACCAAATTTATTATTATTATTATTATTATTATTATTATTATTATTATTATTGTTATTATTGTTATCATTATTATTATTGTTATTATTATTGTTCTTATTATTATTATTGTTATTGTTATTATTATTTTTATTATTGTTATTATTATTATTATTGTTGTTATTGTTATTATTATTATTGTTAGTGTTGTTACTATTATTATTATTATTATTATTATTATTATTATTGTTGTTATTATTATTGTTATTATTATTATTATTATTATTATTATTGTTGTTATTATTGTTATAATTATTATTATTATTATTATTATTATTATTATTATTATTATTATTATTGTTGTTATTGTTATTGTTGTTATTATTCTTATTATCATGATCATCGTCAAGGTCTATATGATTATTAGTATTTATATAAAATTATTTTAGAAATTAAAATTCAAAATGAGAATGAAATGATTTTTGTATAGATGGTAATTACCAAACTATCCTACATTTCAGAAGGATTTTTGCGCGGGAAATAATTCCTTTCTCCAATGTTCTCTCCTTTTAGAATTCAGAAACATAAATTAACAAATACTCCGCTAAGCTAAGAAGCCATTAGAAACCTAAAATCTTCCTCTTCAATGGCGACTCAGAAACTTTCTGAATACGAACTGAAGCGACTCGAAAACATTCGTCGCAACACCGAAATGATTTCCGCTCTCAAAATATATTCCAAAGCGTCACAACTCTTCAAGCCTCCAAGGTCATTTTCTTCTCTAATAGCTTCATTATTTTTCTCTAATATCAACATTGGTTATTGTTGATGAATGACATTGTCTATTTGAATTTTACAGTGCTGTGACCAAATTGAAATCAGAGAAGAAACCGAAAACTGAAACCCCTAATGCTACCAGATTCTCCCTCCGAACCAGAGGTAGTATTTTTTATTTTTAGAACTTATAAAATGAAAAAACTATGATTATGTATCAAGATATGAAGCACATACACCTAAATCATGACACTGACTCTCACACGTTGCCGCCACCGATAATAATTTGATAAAATGAATAAATTAAACTTAATTACAACCGTCGCATATGCTTTTTTTTCTAGAGGTATCAATGCTATATAGTATGAAGTAACAAACCTAACCAACTAATTCTAAGACCATGTGCAATGGTGTGTTTAATTGAACTCAACATGGCAAAATCATGTGCAATGGTGTGTTTAGAGTAGTGTTGAGTGTGTGTTGGAGGAGAGAGATGTTGAGAAAACTCAACACCATGTACACTGACGCATGGGCTGACGTGGCAGCGGCTGGTTGGCTGACCAGATTTTTATCCATTTAATACTTTGAACTCAATTATTTCGTTGCAAATTAATTTTTTTTTTTAACCAAAATTCATGATTTTTTTTCCTCTATAAATAGAGACTTGGTTCATTTGATTTGGACACAAAAAAAAACTAAGTTTTTCACTATCTTAATTTTATTATTAGTGTTTATTTTGAAGTTAAGTGTCTTTTTTTAGTGAAATGGGTCCCAATAATCATTTTAACACTCAAAATTCTGCTAATTTTCCATTTAACCAAAATCCCAACAATTTTCCAAATCCCAACAATTATCAAAATCCCAACTATTATCAAAATCCAAATCAATTTTCCAACCAACATCCTCAAAACATACCTAATTTTGGTTTTCCACCAAATTTCAACCAGACATCCTCTGTTCCAAACTTTCAAACATATTATGGATCTATGCCGAGAAATCCATCTCAAACACCCCCGTTTAATGGTTATGTGACAATGGCGAATGCAAATTTTCCAAGTGGTGGTGTACCTGAATTTCCCGAGTTTTCAACACAACTAACTATTGGTGGCATGATAGTTTCTAATGAAGTCGGTCCGAATTCAGAGGATTCAACTCCTAAGAGCAGGAAAACTCAGCAACCAGCATGGAACACTGAACAAAATTTGGTGCTAATTAGTGGGTGGATTAAATTTGGAACAAGCAGTGTTGTCGGGAGAAACCAGAAAGGTGAAACATATTGGGGTAAAATTGTTGAGTATTGTAATGAGCATTGCTCATTCGATCCTCCGCGTGATGGACCTGCATGCCGAAACCGTTTTAATTATATGAACAAAGTGTTGGGTAAATGGATTGACGCTTATGATGGCGCTAAGCGTATGCAAGGAAGTGGTTGGTCGGAGAATGATGTTTTGGCAAAAGCGCAGGAATTATACGCAGGAATCATATTCTCAACGTTGGACCGATTTTGAGCAATCTGGGGAAAGTGGATCTAGTGCACCACAACCATACTCGACCGAGGTGTTACCCGCTTTTGCAAATCATGTGCGTGCTAGATCAAAGTTCCGTGATCCAAATGTTCATCAAGAATTGCAAGCCGATCTAGTGAAGCACATATGGACAAAGTTTGGAATGTTCCGTGATTGAATTATTTGTGTGTTGTATTGCATTTTAAATTATTTGTATCGTACTAATTACGTTACTTGTGTGTTGTATTGCATTTTAAATTATTCGTAACGTACTAATTACGTTAATTGTGTGTTGTATTTTAAATTAATTTAAGATGATTTGTATCGTATCCAATTATTTAAATAAATTTTGTTTTTATTACAAAAAATTAAAAAATAAATTATTAAGTATTTATTATTTTAATTTAATTTTAATCGATAATTGTAATTTTATGTAATCATAAAAATAAAAATAAAATTTAAATAAGAATATGAAAATAAAAAGTGGTGGGGTAGGGTGTTGAGTGAAAAATCATTGGAGAGGGTAAAAGTTGAATGTGTATTGAGTTATTAGGTGGAAGAAAGAGAAAATGATGTGGAGTGTTGGGAGTTGAAAAAGTGGGTGTTGAGTTTTTCAACCATTGTAAATGGTCTAACAAATCCCTTACAGGTGTTGCAACCGATCCCTCAAATTCTCTCTTTTATAGTAACACTAAATCCAGCAATCCTAACATTTTGGATCATCTTCCAATGAAGGAAGCTTACAAAGGCACACACTCGGATTGCTCTTTCATTGAAACCCTAAAACAACAATCCAATGGTACTGCAAAAATTAACAAAACTGAGTGTTCTTTTGAGTTGGAATCCATGTCTTTGGATCCTGAAAATATATCAAATGTTGTTCCTGGAAGGATAACTCAAACTCGGTTCTTCCCTTCCAATGATTTCAAGATGATTGTAGCGGGTGACAATTCCGGGAATATTGGGTTCTGGAATGTTGGACAAAGTGAGGTTTTTTTGTATCGTCCGCATCAAACTATTATTTCGGGGATTGTGGTTCAATCACATTGCTTGTCAAAGGTGTGTGAATGAATTCTTATTTTCTGTTAACATGTTTGGGAAATAGCAGAATTTTCTGATGCAGTGATTGTTGATTTTAATATGCAGATATACACAAGTTGTAATGATGGATTTGCTAGGATGATGGATGTTGAGAAGGAAATTTTCGATATCGTATATAAAAGTAGTGATAAAGCATGTATATCTGCTCTCTCGCAACCAAAGAATGAGGCAAACTGTTTATATTTAGCTGAAGGTTCTGGAGTTTTGACTGTTTGGGATAAGAGGATAGGAACATGTTCCTCTTTGTCCGGCTTAGCTTTGCATCGAATGAGGATTAATACAATAGATTTCAACCCTGAAAACCCTCACATTGCAGTTACTAGTTCATCTGATGGAAATGCATGTACCTGGGATTTTAGACGTATTAGTGGTATGGGTAAGGGCGGTAACTTCCCAGCTTTAAGGAGATTTAGCCATGAAAGGGCCTTGCAATCTGCCTACTTCTCTCCTTCTGGACGTAGCCTTGCGATCACAAGGTATGAAAATGAAACACTTGTGATTGCGTTTAGTTTATTCATTTTTTCAAATTATTAAGAGTGTCACCGTGTTAGTGTAGGAGTCGTGTTTGGGGTGTCCGTGCTTCATAACGTCTAGTATTTATTGTTATTTGTTAAGTTCAGTTCTGCGTAGAAACTTGATTCAATAAATATGTTGCTTTTTCAATCCTTGGCTATAATCTTATGATGATTCTAATCCTTGATTTTATTTACCTAATTGTGAATTTGATTGGATTGAGTTGATATAATCTCTTGATGTAGCAAGAACAACACGATTGTCATATACAGTGGAGTTAACTTGAAAGACGCAGCTTTTGTTAATGATGTAAGAAGCCAGACGCTTTCTATTTTCAGGTGCGGTTTCTGGGGAAGCAACAGATCTTTGTTGAGTTTTATGCTTTTTTTCTCTTGCTATCAGCTGATCTTGTCCCACAGTTTCCAGTCTTCATTAGTTAAAAAGGAACTTATTTAATTCCGAACAAAAACAGTTGACATTTGTTATCTTGATTTCATGGTGGCAGGGCAATATGGGGTTGGGACGACTCGTACCTCTTCACTGGGAGTACAAAAAGAGGAATTGGCATTGTCTCGACAGCTCAGAAGGCAACTGTGATGACTCTAGAGAGCCCACTTGTACCTGCAGTTCCACATAAATTTGATACACACTCTTACGAAGTTGGGATGCTAGCAGCGGGTACGGGCGGAGGCCAGGTCTGTGTTTGGACATCGTGCTAGGACTTTTAGTGCCCATTTGAAATTGTGGTACTGCAACATAAATTATCAAGTCCCCATGCTTTTTGGACACAACTTGTATGAAGTTGTAAATTCAAACTTTTGATTGGCAATGCGTTTCTTGAAAATCCCACCACGACTCCAACAAACATATACCATTTTGGTTGACCTATTTTCATGACTTTTTGTGTTAAGTATCATTTATGTATGCCATTTAAACGGGCTTGTGTCTCATTCTAAATGCTACTAGTTTGAAAGATGAGGTTGATCAAACACATATAAATCCAATTGTCCGAGAACTTAAAGTAATCGGGAACTTCAAACAATTTCTACATTGGTCTTTAATCTGATTTTGATACCATGTTAAATTTGGCTCTGTTAGACGTATAAATGTATTTTTAACAACTTTATCCTTTGATATATCTTTTGAAATGAGATCTTAACTTATTTAACATATGACAGCTATATGACCGTAGGATCCAATCCTCGGTTGAATACAAAAACATGTAACATTTTAGTTAATGCCTATCTTCTAGGTTTTTTCATGTAAAGTATCATTAGGAGGTTGCTCATAATTTATGTCCTAACAGATTTTAAACATGTTTGTTTAGTGGATCAACAAAATATATTTATTGCAATTGTTTACTGGATCAACAAAATATATTTATTGCAATTGTTTACTGGATCAACAAAATGTATTTATTGCAATTATTTACTAGATCAACAAAATGTATTTACTGCAATTGTTGTAGTGTACTCTCTTAATGTTTGAATTGGAAAAAGAAGTAGCAGTTATCCTTTTAATTTTAGCATTTCTCTTCTTTTAATTAAGCTTTTTTTTGTGTTAAGTATCATAGTCATAACCCAAAGTGGTATTAGAGTGGTTGTTCTTAGAAGTTTAATAACCCTTCTAAATATTGCAATAACACTAGGAAATGCATCAATCTGGTAATATTTTGTACAAAATATCACTGCTTCTTCTGAATAAAGAATCATTCTTAAAGAAAGATGCGGGAATTGATGTTACTCATGGTCCATCACCTCGACAAGGAATGGTATCTGGAAGTACTCTGACCACCCAAGAATGTTTTAATCGAATGTGAGAAATATTTTGGATTAAAAATTTGTACCATGATTTGACGTTTTAGGGTTAAGACAAATAATTTTCAATTCTCATGATCTCTCGCTCCCTTAAAGTTTAAAAGGACATCAACAAGATCCATGTGTTCGTCGTTCGGTCCATCAAAGGTTCATATTCTCAATGATTTTTGGAGTTCCCTCATAGGATACTCGTTGATTCTCATATTAAAGGAGTTTTATAAAGATATGTCTTCGCCCTTTTGAGAACCAATAGAGGGTCATTGCAGAGCTTGGGCGACTTGAAGTTGTTGGGACCTATGGTTTCAACCTCTAAAAGTTGTTCATTTTGAAACTCTAGCGATACTGACTGTATATTGACCACTACAAACAAGTCTCTTAACAATGTGTTTTTTTTAAGTTTATCATCTGATTCGTCAGAGTGGTGATATATAACAATGTGTCTCTTAACAATGTGTCTCTTGACAATGTGTCTCTTAGCAATGTTTTTTTAAGTTGAATGAGTTTCGTCCTATTGCTCTGGTTGGATGTTTATATAAAATTATTACTAAGGTGTGGCAAATTGTTTTAGGTTGGTAACGAGAAATGTTATTTCACAGTGTCAGTCGGCTTTTGTAAAAGATAGGCAAATTATTGATGGTATTTTGATTTCTTATGAGGTGGGGGGGGGGGGGGGGGGGAGACCCATAAGTTGAAAAAAGAATTGATGTTGTTCAAAATGGATTTTGAAACGACATATGATTATGTGGATTGGGGTGATTTGGATCTTGTGATGGTGAGAATGTTTTTCTCAACTCTATGGAGGGAGTGGATGAAAGAGTGCATTGGATCAACATCAACATCAGTGTTGGTTAATGGTAGTCCAACATCAGGAGTTTAGGTTTGAGAAGGGGTTGTGTCAAGGTGACTCATTATCTCCTTGTCTTTTCTTTTGGCGGAAGAAGGGTTGCATGTTTTGATGGATGTGATTGTAAATACCAGTATTTTTTCGAGATATTCTATAGGTTCAGAGGCTACTATTGTCATTTCTTATCTCTAGTCTGTAGATGATACCTTGCTCATGGGGGTGAGGAGTTGGGTTAATGTTTGGGCCTTGGGGGTTGTTCTAGTGTTATTTGAAGCAATGTCGGGATTAAAAGTTAATTTTCACTTGAGTATATTGGTTGGTCTTAACATTTCAGAGTCATGGTTGTATGAGGAAGCCTCGGTGCTTTATTGTAGAATCAAGAGGTTTCCCTTCCTGTACTTAGGTCTTCCGATTGGTGGTGATTCTAGAAGATTGGATTTTTGGGGTCCAGTGGTGGACCATATGAAATCTAAGTTGTCTGGTTGGAAGAGTCGTCATTTATCGCTAAGGGGTCAGTTAAGCCTCTTGAAGTTTGTCCTTACCTCTATGCCCATCTCTGCTCTTTCTTTCTTCAAGGCTCCTGTAGGTATTATCACTTTATTAGATTCTATTTTTATGAATTTCTTCTAGGGTGGTAGTGATAATCATAGGAAAACAGCTTGGGTTGATTGGGCGACTATTTCTAAAAACAATGAGTTTGGTGGTCTAGGAGTTAGGAGGCTAAATGAGTTTAATACAGCTCTTCTAGACAAATGGTGTTGGAGGATGCTTGTTGAGAGAAAGGGGTTTTAGGTGAAGGTGTTGGAAGCTCGATATGGAGTAGAAACGGGGCGAGTGAAATCAGGAGGGTGACGTTGTTCAAATTGGTGGAGAGAGGTGGGTCGGGTTCAGGATGGAGGAGGTGAAGAGGAAGGAGGTTAGTTTAATAAGAACGTGCGTAGGAATATGGATAATGGTGCTCATACTCTTTTTTGGACTGATACTTGGGTAGGAGAGATGCCTTTATGTGAAAGATTTAGTCGTCTTTACCAGTTGTCTGAGTTAAAAGGGGAGTTGGTAGCGAACATGTTTCTCTTAGGGTGAGGAGTAGGCAGTGGTGCATGGAGGTGGCGCCGGGGGTGGTTAGCTTGGGAGAAGGAATTGGTGGAGGAGTGTCAGTTACTATTATTTGATGTCTCTTTACAAGATAATATTCGGGACGAACGGACTTTTTCTAAAGTCATGTCTTATATTATTAGTGATGTGTACCAAATGCTTACCAACAGGGAAGATCAGTATGTCAACTCGGTTTTAGATAATATTTGGCATAAACCGGTTCATTCGAAGGTTTAAATATGTGCATGGTGTAACACCTTTTTAAACCCCAAATAATATTCTCAAAATAATTCGATAATTAAATCAGAGTAATGCACTAAAAAGAGTGTCACATTGCTTCGAACAAACTTCATAATAAAACACGTCCTACTCCGTAAAACAGGTTTTCAAAAATCAATTACGTTAAGTACTTCATGATTAAAAACCATAACCTTTCAGCTTACTCGTAGCGGAAATTCATAATTCAAAACATCTTTATTAAGATACTTCTAAATAACTTTATCAATCAAAACAACTCAAATACCATAAGGGTAGTTCAAATATCAAAATAAACAAAGTAACATGGTTATTCAAAACAAATGATCTCGCCCTCGATGTTACATATTAGAGAAAGACCCCTTTATTTTACAAAAAATAAAGAACACACTCTACATCTATCCTCTAAGTCTCGACAGACTATTCTTGATTACCTGCAAGTTACCCACGTAAAGAGGTAACATTTCCAAGCAGCAAGGGTGAGTAAATCATAATCATTGTAAAAGACAAGGAGTAAATATAATAGTTATATTATAAACCAAGGAAAACATCACATCATCGAAACCTCATGTCATACTGATAACACGAAAAGGTATCGCTTTTAGGCCTAATTTACACGAGTTATTTGTACGTTTTTATCGAATAATATGCATCACGAAGGTATTTTTATTTGTTTTCAGGTAAACTATATTTTCCAAGGCATAAGATGGAAAATTAGCTAAAAGGAGCAAAACAAGCTAGGAAATGGAAAGAAGAAAGAAGAAAAAGGACATTCTGCTAAGAAGCTCACACTAGACGAGCGTTACGAGCGCAACGCCTAGCATTACGAACGTAACGCCTAGCGCACACTGTTACGAACGTAACGTAACACGTTACGAACGAAACAAAATGCCTAGCTGTTACGAACATAATGAATCCCATTACGAACGTAACGCCTTAAAAACTCAGTCTATGCAGTAAACCACGAAGCAGCCACACGAAGTCCACACGACCTCGTTCCATCAGTCGAGAATTTAGCGCACATACCGAAATAATGGAACACGACAGTTACAAGAGAGAAATAATGGAACACGACAGTTTCTTCTGAGGCTCATGTTCATCAAGTTCTATCTTGTGACTTCTTAAAGCACTGATAAGTTCTTCAAAGGATACATCATTCAAATCTTTTGACACTTTGAATGCAGTAACCATAGGTGCCCATCTTCTGGGTAAACTTATGATAATTTTCTTAACATGGTATGCCTTGGTGTATCCTTTTTTCAGAACTCTCAGGCCAACAATCAGAGTTTGTAATCTCGAGAACATAGCTTCAATAGACTCATTTTCTTCCATTTTGAATACTTCATACTTCTGGATGAGAGCCATAGCTTTTGTCTCTTTTACTTGAGCATTTTCTTCATGAATCATTTTGAGAGACTCAAACATGTCATGTGTTGTATCTCTGTTGGTGATTTTCTCATATTCAGTTTTAGAGATAGCGTTCATAAATATGTTTCTGGCTCTGTGGTGATTCTTGAAATCTAACTTCTGTTGTTTATCCATGTTCTTTCTGTCAATCTTGTTTTTGTCTTTGTCTTCTGGATGAGTGTACCCATCTAGGACCAAATCCCATAGATCAACATCATGACCTAGAAAGAAACTTTATAGTATGTCCTTCCAGTATTCAAAGTCTTCTCGATCAAACATGTGAGGTTTGGTGTTGTTGTTG